GAGATAACACGACAGATGAGTGAAGTGCAGTCTCTGCATCGCGAGGTAGTTGGCTTTAGTATCTACGATAAGGACTCACGACCTTCTGCATTACCTGGAACTTCGACGCCTAATGTGTCTCGTGCACTCGTTTCGATGAATAGTTTCCATGATAACAGATAGCCACGTATTCTTTGTCTGTTTAACTGATGTGAGGTCGCTCTTTGAAACGCTGGATTCGACCTGCAAGTTATTGCCTACCAAGCAGCAAATGACTTCGGTCCGAGAAACCAAAACACCTCGTGATCGTAGAGCAAACGATGACCTACTGCTAGCAGCAATTGGATGCCAGCACACCAAACGAATAGAATATCTGTTGAATTCAGCATGAGTGGTCACTTACTGAACGAGTTCGCCATTCACAGCATCATCGAAACATTAGTCTTCCCTAAAGTATGTGGCTTGAGCCTCCTGGTGCCATACGAGCAATATAGCGTTCAGGACATGTTTTTGCGTCGATAAAATGCCAGCTCTCCGTCAGCGTAGAACACATAGGACGTGTCCGATTGCCCTGCTCAAATGAGAATATCTATTCTACGTTGATCACAACACTCCGGCAGTGCGCAGCATCTCTGTGAGCTTTCCAGACTGAAACAGCGCCTGCACGTCGGTGCCGCCACCGATGGACTCCTTCTTAATGAAGACATTGGGCACGGTGCGTCGTCCTGTCAGTGAGCAACAAGTACAAATTAGCCAAATACTTGAAAGTCACGTTGAAGTTGCCACTTTTTCCGTTGCCATACCGGTTGCAGTAGCCAGTGCGTTCTGAATATCAGCGCCAGTAGGTACGTCGCTCTTCAGATCCAGCTCCACAACGTGATACTTGACGCCGGCCTCATCCAGCACGCCTTTTGCCTATCGAATCCCCATCGAAATGGCTATTAGTCATGACGTTTTCAGCTGCTAGGACAACCATTTAGGACTATTTGCCGGCGCACCAGATTGCAGTACGGACAGTAGCTCTTGCTGAAGACCGTCACGCCATTCTCCGTCGTCACACGGTCCACAAACTCCGCCGCCGCTGCCTCGTTCTCTCGCGAACTCGCTGCTCCCATTGCCGCAGAAATCAAATTTGGCGTTTGGCACACCAAATCATGTGTTGAGTTGATAGTAGCGACCCGCGGGTTAGGCGGGTTCGATACAAATAGCAAGTGACCTGCAGCCCTCTTTTCATTGGTTGGCCGGACTTCTCCAGCAGCAGCAGTGAAGCAGGCAGTTATTCCCTGCGAGCAGTAGAGCGAGGCCCTCTACCTCCCCATCCAGTCAGTACAGCAGATATGGACGGAGACGACAAGGAACTATTGCGCGAGTGGCTTATCCGCAGCCTTGAGCCAGTGTGCGTGTTTGTATCTTGTTAAATGTATGGAGGGGGTCGCTTTATCTAATTATATTGGACTGACACAGATGCGACGCCGACCCGGAGGTGCTGAGCAAATACGTACTGGCCCTGGTGCAGAACGACCTGCAGAAGCCCGGGCTGCAGGACACGTGCGTCTCTAAGCTTGAGGAATTCCTCGGTGACGGTGCGTTCAGCTATGCGAGAGAAAATAAATGCGGATAATTCCATTTTTACTAATTTTTTTTATTTATTACACAGAGACGGCGGGATTTGTGGGAAAATTGTTCAAGGCGCTTGCAGATGGTTCTTATAAGGCCAGCAATTCAAGTCATGCCAATAATGATGAGCAGTCCAGAGGGTCTAATGGCTATGACGACGAGTACAGTCGACGGCGTGAACGCAGCTACTCGGACGATGAGGACGAGCAGCGGCGATATAACAAAAGACGTCGCGACGATGATCGCTCTAGGGAAGGAGACA